TATCCCTGATCTCTATCCATAACTTGTCAATATCCTCGTGGTCCTCGTCAGGAAGCTCTAAAGCTTCAAACCTATTCTTAACATCTAGCTCGAATTGGTTTCTAATTGATGGATTTTTTAATTTTTCCAAATTAAAATTCTCAAAATCGAAACGGTTTTCTTTTCTCTTTTTTATATTAAGTTTTTGTCGAAGTTTCGCGATTACTAATTCATGATCCGACCCACATTCTGCTCCGCGATAAGACCGTACATTAATTATACTGCTTTGCCAGCTGTGTTGTATCAAGACATGATCGATTTGATTTCGTGTTTGCGAATCCGGTGATGTCCAAGTATATTTATGAATATCCTTATGTTTAAACGTCGTACTTTTAATTATCAGGTTTTTCGAGATGGCAAAGTTTATCAGACGGATCCCATTATCATTACTATATTCGTGCAAACTTTCTTTACCAATCGTCGGAATATAAACTTCTTCCCTTCCTACCTTTGCGTTCGCGTCACCTACAATTATTTTCATGTAGTTTCGTCGGTAGTTTATCATAAACCCATTCGAGTTTATCGTAAAATTCACTTTTGACTTCATCGTCACTGTCTTCGGTCGGACAATGTATGTTTATTAATGCGATTTTAAACCAACGTCCCTGAAATGTAGCTACCGAAATTCTATCACTAAAGAATTGTACGTCCCTCAAAGCGGATAGTAATCTACTCCTAATTAGAAACCCGGTACCTAAACAATGATTCGCGCTTCCTCCGTACCAAATAGTGTACTTTCCTTCCCTCATCGAGCCCTCCCCTGGCCAGCGAACCTCTTGCAGAGCCACGACATCCAAATTGTACCCATTTACCTCATTCGCGACCGATTTTAGCCCCCCTGTGTTTAAACTCCTTACGTTCCACGTACCAATATTTAAATCCCTATATTTCAACTTGCGCCATGAATCCCCTAAAGCAGTCCCCACCCGGAGACCCGAACGGGGGACTAGTTTACCTCCGGATAATGAGCGTTTTACCTTAGGGAGATCCATGACTTTTTGTGGTGTTTGGTGAACTAAAGATATGTGAGTAGGGCGTTCAATCCTACGTCACACCCTCCAGCAAGTCTGGTGGGCCCCTACCTCCAGCAAGTCTGGAGGTCCCCCCCCTCCAGCAAGTCTGGAGGGCCCCTCTCATTGTTGGTCAGCGAGTCCATCGGACTTAGCCGGGAGGAACTTCCAAGGAATTTCCACCGACCATCCCCACATCCGCCACCCGTGGGACGCTCCCCATACGCGGTAATGAGCCGCGATGAAATTACCTCAATTATATTATCCGGATACAGTTCATGCAATTCGGCGTCTGAACTCTCCGATTAACTCATCCTTCTTCGGTCCGAATATTCTACGCAATACTTATTTTCAAAAACCTTAAGGCGCTGCTCATCCCTTAATGTAAGCGCCAAGTTTCGCATCCATAAAGAACTGTAGGCAGATAATTGTTTTATAGATTCTCATTTTTAAGTTTCGGGACAAGAGGCGCGAACTAAGTAGTTTTGTCACAGAAAAATAACAAGCATTCCCCGCTTTAGTCTAACCTTAATCTCTTCTTCAATTTCGTTTTTTTCTAGTTATCGTAGAACCTAGATACCTAAATTTATCTACCTGTTCAAACATATTACCATCTATATCGATATCACCACTATTATCGCCATTTTTGCAGCTAACCATATATTTTGTCTTATCTGCCTTTATTTCGAGTCCTAGTTCTTTACCGGCTTTCTTTAACGTTGTCGTATTTAGTTTTAAAAAATATATATCAATATTAAAATATATTACATGTATAGTGTAATATATCGATTGGGGACTATCGATATTTACACAGGAGCTACCGAACGTTTGAAGAGGAAATGCCTTAAATTGAAATATTTTTGTTTCATCTCGGCTTTGCGGTCACCGCTGTCAGTAGACTTTTCCTAGGAAAATATTCTTTGTTTTTCCCTTTGGTTTTCCGTCACGGTTATCTAAAGGTCTAGCTCCTTTGTTGTCCTCTGTTCTCGGAACTAATTTTACTGTGGAAGCATTTCAGGGTTTTACTCTTTGATCATTGGCTGTCCTTTGCTTTGCTACATGCTTGTGAAATATGTTTTTCGAATAATGATATACCATTAACATTGGAACCCCTAATCAATGATGTCATCTCCTCTAATATTTTTTTTTATTTCTTAAATACATTTACAACTGTATTAAATATATGCATCTAGTAAATTTTAACATAATGTATATAATGACATGAATACACTTGCTGAGTACCCAATGGTAGCACTCTAATGATATGTTTACGTTAGGAGATCACGGGCCATCTTCTTTTCAGGCGCCTCGGAGGGTTATCAGGAATTGAAGAGGAAGCAAGGTTAGAAACGCGAGGGTTGGGATGATTCTGAAGTTTATTATGGAAGGATAGGTGTCTGGATTGGGCCAGATCTGAAACAAAAGAAACATTAAGGTCATATGATGGGTTTTTTGTAACAAAGTAAGGAGCATTGAGGATTTTACTAAGGATTTTGGATTGCAAGGATTGGATACGAGAGGAATTCGATGGTTTAGTGGAGCCCCATAGCTCAATTCCGTAGGTCCAAATAGGCCTTATTATAGTCCTGTAAATGAGTCTTTTATAATTGATTGAAAGCTTAGAGCGTTTGTCTAGTAAGTGCTAAAGTAATCGGAAACGTCGAGCGTTTTCTTGTCGTTTCAGTCTGGTATGAATGTAATATTTGAATTTTATTTTACTCAATACTTCTCTAATACAGTTGCTTGATCAATACACTATAGTTGATTAATATATTAAGTGTTTTTGCTTCCTCAATATCGAAGGTAGGGTAGTATTCGTACTGGAGGTTAAAAAAATATTTGTTCTCAGAATCGAAAATTTCCTGTCGCGTTTTACGTTTCAGACATCAGTCCGTAGTCAAATCGATGGAACGGCCATATTACCTATTACTGTTTATCCGATTTTCATGAAAAAAAAGAAGATTGTGGGGATTGGTACCTAGATGGTCCCGTATCAATTTCATTAAATTCCATATACTACTTACGGTTGCGCGTGCGCAAATGTGTTTTTTTTTTAGATATGCTGATATTTCAGAAACGGCACGTTCGATTTGGCTTAAAGTTATAAGAAGCGTTGGCTTTGATAAAGTAAGCTGTATCGATTTCGATAAATTCCTTACAGTAAATCTGGTTGCGCACTCGCAAATGTGTTTTAATCGCATTCGATTTGGCTCAAAGCTAGAAGAAAGGGAGGGTTATTAAAATTAATAGTAGTCGTAGTAGACCTTGAGATATAGATAGATGTGGAATCAATGAAAATTGTGAGAAAGTTATACTGGCCTCACTTGGCAAATCGTTATCGATTTAATTTTTAACAAGTCGCGAAATATATTTGCTCTTTGGCGAGATATATTTGCCTAGAGCCATAATGTGTAGTGTAAATAACCCGACCACAACACTAAATTAAATATTCACTGATGTCAATGTCCGTATCAATTTACCAAAACGTTTCAGTAGGTACGGAAGTACATTCCCTTAGGGTGGATAGAATTTCCCAACTTATGTAGTCGGTTTTTTCTTTTTTTTTTTTTTAATTAAAATATATTTCTTTCATTTTTTTGTACGTTTGATAATATTTATTATCAAAATCAAAACTATGTATTTTTACTTTCCTACCTATACTAGGTAAGGAAAGTATTGCAATCGGGTCAAATTTTCGACCTGCGGTTTTCGACGGATCTATACGTTTCACAGTCCCCTGAGTCCGAAAAACACATTTTTAGCCATTGGGCTGTCTGTCTGTCTGTGCCAAGATTTTCTCGGGAACTACTGAACCGATTTTGTTGCTTCTTTTTTTATTTTTTAGGGTTTTGACTACTGATGGCTGTGACAGAAATTCGGTGCTCCATGAGCAATAGCTTGCGCGCTATAAATGAAAAACATGTTTTTCTACAGGCTGTAGCGCAAAAACGGATCTAACGATTTTGATGAAACTTTCCTATAATGATCTAATCATTGTTTTTTCATTTTTCGTATATATACTAAATTCCCCAAAAAATTCAGGAAAAAAAGTTATAAAGAAATGAAATATGTTATGGGGCCTAACTCCCTAAGTATGTATTATACGGTAAAATTTATAATAAAGCTTGTGAAAGGTTGTTAATTCAATTAACAACAAAACAAAAAAAAATCATCGGAATCGAACCAGTATTAGCGATGATACAGCTATTTTTTACACATTTTTTAACTTATTACTTTCCTACCTATACTAGGTAAGGAAAGTATTGCAATCGGGCCAAATTTCCGACATGCGGTTTTCGACGAATCTATACGTTTCTGGGCCCCCTGAGTCCGAAAAACACATTTTTAGCCACATTGGTCTGTTTGTCTGTCTGTCTGTCTGTGCCAAGATTTTCTCGGAAACTACTGAGCCGAATTTGTTGTTTCTTTTCCTATTTACTATTACCTATACTTTTAACAGAAATTATTGTTTGTCAATACTAAACTATGCCAAAAAGTTGTTGACCAATATTAGGAAGTATTGACATTTTTAGACTGATCTACATTAAGCCGGTTTACATATCTTTAGTTTATCAAATAAATCGTGCTCAAATCTTATGATTGATCAATTTTCAGGAAAATGTATCTTGTTCAATTATTTTTTGTTTCTCCATGAACATATGTAAAGATATGAAAAGTTTTCTGAAATAGGTAGGAAAGTCGTGTGAGTGGACACACCTGATTTTTAATATGCTATGTTGTGTCAGGGCTGTTATATTAACGTTTTTCACATTTTTATAATTATTTTTATGTCGGGTAATTCTTGTTTTTCATTTTTTAGAGACCTGCCCTACGTTATCTATTTTGTCTTACATATTTCTTAAGTGGTTTCCTAATTAAACATTTCCTTACCGCTCCTCCTCCACCAATGTCAAACCGATTCCAAACTCTTCTTCATCGTTCTCGTTGCAGACGAGGTCCGCTCCGGAGCCTACCGCAACCTCTTCTCGCCCTGGCAGATGGTCACCGGCAAAGAGGACGCGGCCAACAACTTCGCGCGAGGAGCCTGCAGCGTAGGCTTGGAAGTGGTCAACTTCGTGACAGACTCCATCCGCCAGATCCTCGAGTCCTGCGACTCCTTCCAGGGGTTCATGGTCTTCCACTCGGTCGGCGGGGGAACTGGGTCAGGCTTCACCGCCTTCGTCTTGGACGACATGCTGGAGGAGCATGGCAAGAAGTGCAAGCTGGAAGTCGCCATCTACCCGGCCCCGGAGGTAGGTAGTGATGTATTTTATTTTTGTTCTTAATTTAAGTTTAATTTCATCACGCTCTACTCTCCTCAATCAACACTCTTAACACGAGAGCTCAACCTATTTTTATTTTTTTATTTTTTTTATTTTTTCCAAACCTATTTGAAAGTTTTGTTCTTTTAATTTTCTGACGTTTCTCCTTCTATTGTAGTAATACTACATTTTAAGGAGTTTTGTTTCATTTCTCCCGTCACCTATTTCCCTTGAAACCCGTAGGCTCCTAGTAACTTCCTTAATTTTTCCCCACTTTGACTATTGCTGTACGGTATATGGGGGCGTCTCTGGGATCTCGAGGCAAAATTAAAACGTTTGATAAATTGCTTTGTACGATTCATCTTCGGGATCCCAAGGGACGCCTCTGTTTCCCGTTTTTATGCAGAGTTGAAGTGGCTTTATCCTTCCTACCGTCGTAAGTATTTCCTGGCATCCTTCCTCTTTCAAGTCATCCAATCCCACCGTCCTTCATACATCTCCGAGCTCCTTCAATTCAAATCTTCTGTTCGTTCCCGCAATACTCGTTCCCGGTCTTCTGATTTATACATAAGGGCCCACCGAACCGCTGCTTTCGACAGATCTTTCATTATCCGATCCTCATCCCTATGGAACTCCATCCCTCCCGACATCCGTCAATCCAAAACCCTTCCTACCTTTAAAACCCGCTGTTCAATCATTTCTTATCCATCCAGTCCCATGAAATTGTAAATAGTACTACTGTAAATATGTATATAAATTATCAGATCGTTCTTCATTATTTTTACTTTATGTTTATTTTCAATTTTTCATTTTTTTTATTATTAACTGATTTAAATTAGAAAGTAACTTATAATTTCTTTTATTATTTTTTTTTATTTTGACTATTCACTTACTCTATATTTTTGTTTATGTATCTCTGAGGCTCCTTAGCCCACATTTTTGTCTTTCTGTATTATTCTAAAGGGACTCGTCCCAGAATAAATAAAGCAGAATATATTATTATTATATATCCGCTTCCATAAAAATACTTCCTTCAGCAAATCCTTCGTAATACGTGGCACCTCCTTTTGGAACTAATTACCTACCTCCATGCGTCAATTCCCGTCCATAAATTCTTTCAAACGACTCCGCTTCCACAATCTACTCCATATTCAATCTTCCTGTCACTCACAGAATAAAATTATTTTTCATTATAAAATAATCCCTGATTAAGCATCAGAAATCTATAGAGATGTTTGGTATTAGCGATATTCCAGAAACTAAAAACATGAAAACGAGCCTCCATGCATTATCCGCGGTACAAACCTTTGCGTTGATTTAAGAAAATGTTTGACCATTAAACATTTCTTATGGGGTAGATGCCCTGATTTATATTTATAGGTATAATGATAAATTGATTCAAGTACATTTGTATAAAAAAACAGAAAAAAAAGAAGGAACAACTTATAAATTATAGATCCATCTAAAATATCGTAAACAACTTTTTCATCCAAGAAAATACTCAGAAATGGGGCGTTTTTCTAATTAAATTAATTAATTTAATGAGGTACTCAAAATCGAGAAAAAGGGTGACCTATAAAAATATTGAGCCGTTTGGTTTAAATAAACTCATTATATTGTGAGTGTATGTCACGCCAAACTGTACAATATTTTTGTAGGCCACCTTTTTTTCTCGATTTTATGATAAAATTATATTAACATGTAAGTGGATATTCATGAATTTGTTTAATGTGCCCCATTGATTAGACAAATTCACTAATCGCCAGATTGTTAACGGCACATTTTCCAAAATTTTCGTAAATAAAAAAGTTTTTGTTTATGACAAGATGAAACCATTCACAAAGTTTTAGACGGATCTTAATAATTTGATAAAAACGGATAAATACCACAGATTAGTAAATCTGTGCAAAAAACTTGCTAATAGTATTTTTATTATTTTATTTTTTTCAATTCTCGGCTTTATGCCGGATAAATCCACTGACCCGGACCGAGGACAAGGGTACAGTTTATGGACTATTTAATTTTAAATATTAAAAAATTTTCGAACAATGCTGGCGGTTCCCAGCGAAACCGCTTTCTGGATTTCCTGAAGTTCCCAGCTTAATCCAAGTAGCTTAATTGATTTTAGAGTATCTTCAGGAATACGATAATGGGTTGTACTTTTACTTCCAGGAGCCGGTATATAACTGTCTTGATTCCTCGCAAAGCTCTTGATACTTTCAAATTTTTTTCACTTAATATTTTAGCTAGATTATCATCAGCAGGAACTCCAACTTCGATAATGATGGCTTTTTTTGTATCTTTGTGAACGAGCAGTATATCTGGTCTATTGTGAGGAATACTATGGCCAGTTATCATATCACCTCTTTCAAAAAACTGAATGTCAATTGTCATCTATATACAGTACAACTTGTTTTTATCATCATAAACTTGTTTTACACTTATACTTACATTCTAAATTTCCCTTCTTATAATTATTGTTTTCTTATAGAGTTATTTATACTTAATAATCTATCCTGACGATATCACACTAATGTTATCTTTTTAATTTTTCAATTTTTTTACTTCTTAACCTTTAGTCCCGTTATCTATGTACTTACAGTTATCAAATGTAACCTCCACTAGCGTGTTATCCACTGATATCTTATTATTATGTTATGTTATTCTTATTTTAGCTTTACTTTATCAATACTTATTCTATTTACAATCTATTTATTCGTTAACATTAATTTTCTTTATATGTTAACCTACATTTATCGAATGTAATCTCTATTAGTTTGTTATACACTCATTCCTTATCTTTTATCGCAATCTGTTAACCTTTAACTTACATGCTATATTCTCCTTTGTTTTCTATTTTTATTCATACTTATTTTCCTTTTTTTTTTTTTTGTATCTTCTACATATAATACTTGATATTTTAACTACATTGTCACCCACTATATCTCTGATATCATCTTTTAGTTCTGTAACAGACAACTTATTCTTATTTTATATCTACTTATATTCATTTATTTTCACCATGTTTTCTATCTTTTGTAGCTCTGATGAAGACCTACAAAGTGGGTCGAAACGTCGCCAAAAATTAAATAATTCTACTTATTTAATTTAGCATTAGTTTGACGGCACCCCCCTCCCCCCCTCCCGACAAGTTTATAACTAATGGTCCTATGCAGATTTATTATTATTTTTTATTTTATTTATTTACTTTAATTAATTTTATTTTTTTGAGGAGTTGATCGGGGGGTGCGGTCAACTCCTTTTCATATTATATCAACGGTCAACCATCTCTACATCATTTTATTTTATAATGTACTTTAATAGTACAGTTGGTTGGGTTCTAATGGTAATTTTTTTTATTTATATCATTTACTGTGATTTTTTAACATCAATATGCTTGAATTAATCATCCTGTATATGAATAAAAACCAGACTTCATACCTGCTCCTAAAAAAAAGTTGTAAACCTTCCTCTCTCTTCTCCACGTATAACTACTTATATCAAAAGTTTACTATTTACTCCTCGTCCCTTCCCTCGACTTCTGCAAAGCTATTATACGATCCTTAAGCACCGGTACTCCCTCAACATCTGAAGCCGTCCTGAGTTCAAAAGGACTCCGACGATCGGATGAAAAAAGGTTCCAATAAAAGAGGAGACCAACCGTTCGGAAGATTGAGCAGGTCGAGCAGTCTGTTAGTTCCGACTCAGTGATCGCAGCCTCTGTCTGCTTAGGGACTTGTACGGCCTAACTTTTTATGAACCAGAAGGACTTAAAGGATCAAATAATAATTGTTAATAGTTGGAATGTAATTCCGTATCCTTGCTCAGGATCAATACGATCCTTATTTAATCCTCTATATCACGTCGGAACGAATCACTTACTTACACAGGTACAAAAGCAATATATGCTTCTATTCCACTTCCTTTTTTTTCTTTGTTATAAATGGTAATACAAACTATTTATTATTTGAAGCCGTGTGGAATATGCAGGATATACAATGAAAATATTTTGAATTCATTTCACATTCAAGAGTTTTTATCGATGTCCACTATTATTTATATTCACAGACGGATCTACGGGGGGCTTTCGGTAAAATATAACCATGTTTTATGGAAAAAAATATGAAAAACTATCTCTTAAACTATTATTGTTCGTGTAATTACATTTAATAGCACTTCAAGAATCACTAAGACAAAATGTCATATGGGTAGTTCTTTCTTTCTTTTTTTTCAAATTAATTATTGTTATATATATGAAAAAAAATCCTTCGGGCTGAAGCCCCCCCCAAAATTAAATCCTGGATCCGCTAGTGTTTATATTTATGTTTGATTGTGCGTTTGGATATCTAGTTGCAAAACATCCATGATCGTCAGTGCCCGATCAACTAAATAACACTACTTTTATACTGTTTCGATGGTTGGTACAAAAAAAAAGAATAAAAAATAAAATAAAAGGATTGATAAAATAAAATAAATAAATTAAAATAACAATAGGCACCTACAGATAATAAGATAGAATAGATAAATAAATAAACTTAAAAAAAATAGCAATAAATGAATTCAAATTAATAAACAAATGAACTTTTAAAATAAAAAAAATAAAATGATGTAGAGGTGGTTGACCGTTGATATAATATGAGGAGTTGATCGGCGGAGGGTGCGGTCAAATAAACAATAAATTAAACAAATAGGCAAAAATTAAATAATTTGTTTAATTTATTATTTATTTGACCGCACCCCCGATCAACTCCTCAAAAAAATAAAATGAATTAAATTAAATAAATAAAATAAAAAAATAAATAAGAAGTAATAAAAAATCTGCAAAGGATCATTAGGTATAAATTTATCATATGTTTTGTTTGTCTTTCATTATCTAGAGACTTGATAACTTAGGTAAAGATTTCTTCTTGATTTCCCAGGGATGCTGATATATTCTAGGATAATCCTAGATCTTTTAACCTTGCGGTGTTAAAAGGGCACTCCTCCAAAAC